GAATAAAACTGACTATTCTTATTGAAGATAATCTGAATATAATGTTTGGCTGCTGTATTTATATTTGTCTTTTTCAGTAATAGGAAGTTATAACAAGAACATACTTAATCAATGTTCCTAATCATTTACTCCGATTTATCAGCTTCAATTATCTTAGATTTGAGTTATACATTCCTTGTCATAATGCCCGCTGTCAACTTACATCCAAAAGTGCTCATTTTCTTGTACATTGACTATAGTAATAATTTGTCACTACATACTTTAGATATTAAGGGTATTTTTTTCATTTCCACATTACCATAGTTACGTATCTACTCAATAACCTGTCTATACTACTTTTGGTCATTATTATCATTAATATAATGAATATGAATAAAATTTAATTAGTGATGATAGGAATTTTGCAAATGACTACAATAAATGCATTAGTTTATTTTCTTAGTAATTTACCCTCTTTCATGAATAATTAATACTCTAGTCTTATTCAGACATTAGGCTTTTCAAATTAATGAATACATGGAGTAGATTTAAACGATTTACCTCATTTTATTAAATATTGTAGGATACTTGAATGTTAGATAAACTATTCTTGTAATATTATGAAGTGTGAATTCATTCGGTATTGTTTGATTAAATCGCCGCATTGATGTATAAGATTGCAATTAATCAGTCTCTTATTGGTATATATGCACCAAATGAGCATTGCCTTGATATTGCCTTAATTCACAAGCATAGGCATAGATGGATAATGGTTAGCAGTGGAATTTAGGACACGCGTTTCGTCCTATTTAGAACTCGTCAAGTGGATGTACCTGCAATTCAGTATTTATGTTGACTCTGAGACTCGAACACAGTACTGTTCCCTTCGAACACCATCAAGTTATCAGGACTCAGTAGTTAAATGGATAACGTGATGGCGTTCTAAACGAATGGTACTAGGTTCCATTTGAGGCATGAAAATCAACTTTGAAATTCAAATACATACAGCTGACGAGTTACAAATAAGACGAAACACGTGTCTTGGATTCCACTTCTAATCATCACTCATCTTTGCTTACTATGAAGAATGCTTTAGTTTGCCTAATTTAATAAACATTTCTATAATTGTATATGGAGCAATGATATGTGAATATTTACAATAATAACGTCATCCAAGCAACAACAAAAAACCATTCATTCACTAGGGAATGAGATATTATGATTTCTTCTTCAATTTAAATGTTTTATCTGTTTATTAGAAGATATTTTCATGGTAGTACAATTATGTACAATGGGAATATTATGAAATGATACTCTAAAGGATACATATTAATAAGCATTGATTTTTTTTTCAGTCTCTATGGAGCACAATGTGATTTTTACAAAATAATGATAGTTATGCATCTAATAATTGAAATTATATAGTTGCTAGTGTGTAGTTTTAGATAGATAATTCCTGACTTTCTAGCCTAAAACCAAGATCAGTATTATTAAACTATGTCAAGTGTGAGGTAGTAATCTATGAATGATATTAAAAGATGATTGTTCAATAATGAAAATATAGTCAATTTAGAAGTTTTTAATAATTTTATAGTGACTCATTCGTCTAAACTTTAAGTTTCCATCTTGTGACCTGAAAGTTTTGGGGGGTTTTTTCCATAGGGGTGATTGTTAAAGAAGATAATTTATAGAATAACTATACTGAAACATGTTTTTCAATCATGAAGATTTGTTTTACCAATGTCAAATGGAAGTGAAAATGAAAGATTTAAAACATATTCCTTAAGCCGGCTCAGTGGTCTAATGGTTAAGTGCTCGCGCGCGAAGCCAGTAGGTCCTGGGTTCGAGCCCCGCGTGGTGCGGGATCGTGCATGCGCACTGCTGAGGAATCCCATACTAGGACGAAACGGCTGTCCAGTGCTTCCAGGTTTTCAATGGTGGTCTAGCTTCAACTGACTCATGATTTCAATCTGTGAAAATATTCCTTAAGCGTTAAAAATCAATTCGTCCAATTGAAATAAGTTTCCCTGATGAAGCTTTTGTTTTATACATGGTTAACCATTCTATTATTTTCTGTTTATCTCTAATCATATGAATGATTGATAGGTTCTATATAAATTGGTTAGATAAATCTATGTTGATATGTTAACTGATTATTTGTTGACTCAATGTTATCCTTGTAGAAATTCTGATTTGTCTTAGGATTTTTTTTTCATTTTTTGATTTTTGACATTTGTGCTGTCAATTTGGTAGCAGTAATTGTTTGCGTGTACTGATAAGTATGATAATTCATTGTCTCATTGCTAATGTATATTGTTGTCCAGTTTTATTGAATGTTGTTTTCCATAGTTGAGATCATGAGTCGATTGAAACGAGACCGGGAAGCACTGACCTATCGTTTCGTTCTATTGTGCAACTCCTCAGTGGCAATGAGCATCCACGATCCCAAGTAGCGAGATTCAAATCAAGGAAATATCAGTCTCGCGCGCGAACACTTAACCACTAGATCACTGAGCCGGCCAGCATTCAACGGTGTTAATGTTTAAGCCCACTCAATCCGCGAAATTCAGCGACACTTCCACCATTGTATTCATTGAGTTGTAATCTCACAACAGACATAGATGAACTCCACTGGTCACTGGTTCTCACTAGAACTCCAGGAAATACCGCTTGAAGCCAGTCACAAGTGAGCATATGTTGATTATTACCGGAAGGGGTTTCTCTGTGTATATAATATTAATCTAAATAGTTAAGATCATGAGTCAGTTGAAGCTGGACCACCATGGAAAACCTAGGATCGTGAGTATGCACTGCTGAGGAGTTGCACAATAGGTTGAAACGGCCGTCCAGTGCTTCCAGGTTTTCTATGGTTATCCAGCTTCAATTGATTCATGATCTTAACTATTTAAATTACTATAATATCCACAAATAAACCATTTCTGATACTAGTTAGAATATTATTTTGTTTATAGTCTTAACAAGTCCCTTCCTTTTATCATTATTATATTTCAGTTCACTTGAATTCACCACCGCATCGAAATGTACAGTGATATCTTAAGTAACTAACTTCAAGTAATTACACCTAGACAACAATACAACACCTCCGACAACTTGCAAGTTAATGATAATTGTCATTAGTTCAGAAAGAAATCAATATTTACCATACAAGAACACTGAACCAAAGCAATCATTTAATTCTTAATATTACCAAATCTCATGAATGGATCATTGTTAGACCATCATTAAAAACCTAGAAGTTCCGGATGGCTGTTTCGTCACAGTAAGGAATTCCTCAGCAACGTGTATCTACGATTCCGTAAACAGCACTCAAATCCACAACCTTCAGTTTCATGCACAAACATGTAACCTCTAGACCACTGACCTAATATTCAACCGTGTGAATATCTAACTTCAACCAATATTGTTCTAATATTGATCGATTCATGATATCAATTTAAACTTAACAATCAACATAACCCTATAGAGTTTGTTACCAAACCTGTGGATTTTATTCTATTTTAAGTAACAAATGAAAATCACTATACAATTTTGAGTGAATGATTTATGTTTATAGAAAAATGTCTACTTTTCCTTTAGTCTAGTTCTGTATATACAAAGATGTTTTTTTTAATATTCCATTTATGGTACTCCGGGAAATATGATGATTTAATAAAGGACAAAAAAACTACCGTCTTCTATCATTAAAAGTAGCTTATATATATACATATATGTTCAGTCACGTTTATATAGTCAATAGGAATATGAAACATAAAATGCCTAGAGGTAAAAAACAAAACAAAACTGAGAGAACTTGGTCTTATGTAAATGAATTTCATTTTGTTTACAATCAGCAAAATCTTATAGAAGTTTAGTAATCATAAACAGTAAAATAGACTTTATAAGTAACCATAAGGTGTATTATTGTCTAACATTAGTTGTTATACTGTTATTTAGGCAAATGTGACAAGAAATGAAAAAATATATAGAAGAATAGTCTCTGTTTTTGGTCAAAACTAAATAAATATAGATGACCAATGATAAATAGTGGTTAGGAGTGAAATACAGGATGTGTTTCGTCTTATTTAGAATTCGTCAGCTGGACGTACTTTTTTGGTGTATGCTACTTATATTGATATAAGTAGTATACGACACGAGTTAAAAACGTAATGTCTGGCAGCAGAAGATGGAGGAAGATCAAGAAAGGGAGAGCGGAAACACAATGAAATTTGTAAGAAAACGTATGAACAATGAAATGTAAGACAGTGGATTGATGATTGTACTGGTATGGCCGAGAGTGGAGTGGGCCCGCCCTCCCTCTCGAAATACTCTCACATGGCCACGCGTATACAGCCTCTGCCAGGGAAGTCCTACTCACTGACTTCTCGCACCACGGGTGTTGTTTACGAAAATGAGAGGAGGAAAAGCGAATGTCCGGTGCTTTAACCGGATTCCAAACCAATGTTGCTCATGGGCTGCAGTATCCTGCTGGAACAAATGGCGTATGAAACAATTGTTGGTCACCGACTACCATGGGACTGCATCTCCTCACGATGCTCCACTGCCTTGTGGTAAATACAATCCGATTGTCCCCCCCCCCTTGTTCTGTTCACTACACTTGTATCTCAGAGTTGATTTTCACTCCACAACTGGAACTCAGTACTTTTCACTTTAAACGCTATCACATTATCTACTTAGTTATTGAATGCCGAAAGCCACTTACTTGTGCAATACGATAAAGTTTAAATTCAAATAAACCGTACCAACTTAATTTAAATATAAATTTGTTCATGATTTAAGGTGAATTGACTGTATACTTATGACAAAAACTTATTTTGTTCAGTAGATTAAACTATTTCAGTGATTTATGTTAGAATGAATACATTTCGTATATGGCTTCTTATTCTATCATTTCATAATGGATATAGATGTAGTATAGCTTGAGTGATTTAATTGGCAACTATATTCTATAAACATTATGGTTATCATCTATTGAAGACAACAAAACAGCATTGAAGCAATGGTTCCGCAGTTTCATTATGTATCCAACGAAATATTCGCAGTGCTTTTTATCGTTCGAATTAACAAGAATTTAAATAACATTTTAGAAAAATAATTATACAATTAGACTTACGACCCATTCTTGTATCCTCGCTAAAATAAAGGACATATATACAGTTTAAGTTAAACCATCTCAAATATTATTCAACAAATACAATATACAAGTGTAAATAGTGATAATTTGATGGATAAAAAAATACTATGCTTATTTCAGTAGTTGAGATCATAAGTCAATTGAAGTTAGAGCACCATGGAAAACCTGGAAAAACTGGACATCTGTTTCGTCCCATTGTGGTACTTCTCAACAGTGACCAGCGGAGTTCACCTGGGTCTGTTGTGAGACAGAATTTGAATGATGACGTGTCGCTTAAATTCGTGGATTAGGTGAGGTTAAACATTAGCACTGTTGGATGCCGGCTCAGTGGTCTAGTGGTTAAGCGATCACGCGCAAGACCGTTAGGTCTCGGGTTCGAATCTGGTATGGCGGGATCGTGGACACGCACTGATGAGGTTTCCTGCAATACGACGAAATGATAGGTCAGTGCTTCTAGGTTTTCCATGGTGATCTAGTTTCAGTTGATTCATTATCTCAACTATTGAAATTACTGTGTTTATTAGTTCAACACACTAGACTTATTCTAAACATACCTAATGTATCCAAATAAAGTAGTAACGTATCCTCGCAAAAATTTAATTTTGTAAATTCTTAGAGTACTACTTTGTCAAATATTCAAAACATTCATAGCTATTCAGAAACGTTGTACATTCTAAATCCCATGAAGTTTCTCAAATTATTTTTTTTTCCTTAATGTCTTACTAGAGCCATTTGTGCAGACAACCTACTATCGTTTGAATAGTGTATTGTGAAGTTAAAAACACAAGATTTTCATTAACACAAGATATCGGTATTCTTTACTAGTTTATATTATTCGTATAATCTTCACTGCTTATATTGTAATGTGCGCTATAAGTAAGATGCGACAGAAGTTGGAAGTGAAACAGAGGAAGGAAAACAAAGAGAAATCCGAATAACAATAAAACGAGAAGAATTACAGGGTATTTAAAAGAGAATTGATGGAAGATATGCAAATCTTATTTTCTAGTACTTCTATCAATTCTCATGATTATTGCAAGCGTACTTGAGTGATGAGTCACATCTCTTACAAAAAATCAGTTCATGACATCATTGCAGTTAAAACTCATCAGAAACGAATATTTATCATCTTCAAGGAACTGATTTTATTTTATTTATTTATTTAAACACATAGAGATTGGTACAAGGAGGCACCAAATATACATGCACCACATAAATCATTCGATTTGTGTGCGGGCTCTGATACTGCTCGGGTGCCCAGATCGAAGCAGGTGGTTTTATAAGTGGGACACACCCCGAGCCTTTGACCTAGAGGTCTGATCCACATGACAGTGGAGCATCGTGAGGAGATGCAGTCCCATGGTAGTCAGTGACCAACTATTGGTTCATACCCCATTTGTTCCCGCAGGATACTGGAGCCCATGTGCAACACTGGTTTGGAATCAGGGTTTTTCAACTCCCCTAGGTGGACTCTACATGTCCACCTACTCGGTTAAAGCACCGGATATTCACTATTCGTCCTCTCAATTTCGTAAACAACACCCTTACCACGAGAAGGCAGTGAGTTGGACTCCCCTGGCAGAGGCTGTATACGCGTGGTCGTGTGAGAGCATTTCGAGAGGAAGGGCAGGCCTACATCACTCTTGGCCATACCAGTGCATTTGGTGAATTTATATTGAGGTTACCCTATCTGAGATCTTATGACTTGACTGTTTTTAAGGAAATTGATTACTTTTGGTATGATAATTGTGAAATTTTAAAGGGAATATTAGTGGAAACAAATCTATCTACCAATCTATCTTATAAGCGGTACTTAACGATGTAAATGCTTGTCTTTTGGAAGTGAATTAAATTTATTTACCATTGCTTAATTAAAAGGTTATTTAACAATGATATCATTAAAACGAATAGAATGTTTAATTTCCAGGAAGTGTGAACTTTCCATTCACCTTTAGGTATGAAACATTAAAATTTAACAGACTATTCATTGAAGTGTAAATCAATAATACCAATTCAATGGTTTCAAAGTTTAAAATTCTCCATTGTGTATGACTATCCAATGTTTAAGCATTAGACAATTCCAGTATGTATATTAACAAGGAAACTCATATTATGACAGAATAGGATAACCAGTATTTCATCTTTAGTTTTATACAAAATACAATTTCTAATTTAGAGTGAAACAATGTTGTTTATTTTTCGAATTGTGCAAAAATGAACAATTCAAATCATCTAAAGAAGTTTCTTAGATGGTGAAGAAGATTTGTAGCTAAGGTAAACTTCTACCTAAAGTTTATGCTGATGATGTCGTTCAGAAGAACGATGAAAGCTCCACAATCAAACCATCCAGCTCAGAGAACAAAACTCCATCAAAAAAAAGAAGTTTCTATCTACACATCTACTTACAGATTTTCACATTTTGATGACCTTTTTGACATTTGCCCACTGCTTAAACTTGGAGGATTAACTGTGAGTGCTGGAACAGTTCGATATTGTGTTTTTGAATCAGTTAAATCATCATTCTCTGCATTTGGAATATCCAATAGATCCAGTAGTGCATATAGTGTAGACATTAATATACGAAACTGATACAAATAATAATAACATATAAGTCCATGTTGATTACAGTAATTATGACTGAATTAATGTATATAATAGTAATATATCTTGTTGAAATAAATTAACAGTTTATTCTAACTCTTGTCTATTCAAAACGCCACACAATCTATGTTATGGCTGTTAGTCTATACCGAATAAAATAGTGAAGGACTAGTGAAAAGCTGAGCTGTATAGCCTTTAACCCACTGTTTGTCAAAGGAGAAAGTATGAACAGAAATACACTTAGCTGTTCATTTAGCCTATTCAATCTTTTGAATTATTATTCGATACCCATAATTATAATAAAGATTTTGTTTAAAAATTCGTCGACAAACTGAGTCGGTATGTTGTGAACGACGACGCAGGTGAGGACAAACAATGTATGTTTAATACAAAATTATAGAATGTTTTGGTAAAATATAATAACGAAACATTGAAAACTTCATTTGCGAATTTCTATCATTTGTCTTTCACATGCTGGATAATTCTTCCCGTCCATAACTACTTTCCATTTTCTCTTCTATTCTCTTCAGCTCGATCATTTTTAGCCTTCTGATGTCAAGTTCTCCAACTCGGATTAGAGTTAGGTAAAACTTATGTCAACAGACATAAGCAGTGTAAACCACAAGTATTCCACTTTTGAATATATATGTAAAATCAGTAAGAGTGAAACCAATACGTATAATGTATTCTTTTTGATTGAGATGATAAACTGATTGATGATAGACCATCATTGAAGACCTGGAAGCACTGGATAGCCGTCTCATCCTATTGTGGGACTCCACAGTAGTGCGCATCTACGATTGCGCTCGCGAGATTCGAACCCAGGGCTTTCAGTCTCGTACGTGGACGCTTAAACTCTAGACCACTGAGACAGCCGACATCCAACGGTGTTAATGTCTAACCTCAATCAATACATTCATTTAAGTTGTCTGATATTGTTATTAGCTTATTTTTATATAATATGTACATACTACTCTAAGATTTTATAATCTATTCAAAATTATGTAAACATTACTTACCTCAGTTATACTGACTTTTTTATCAACAACATGAGGTAGTAGACTTGGAAAAATGTCTGTAACAATCAATTGAGGTTCCAATAAATATGATTTTGTATACAGTAACTTTTTCCAAGCATCTTGTATTTCAAAAAATAAAATAAAAATTTGAAGAAAAAAATGTGTTTTCTACAATGAATGTGTAACCATCAAATATTTGGTAGCAAACAAGTAAACTGTTCAGTAATCTTTTAAACATTCAAACAAATCATCTGCACTTATCGATACGTTTCAGTTTAAACAGGCAATAACATCATCTGTTGATATCATGTCTTTATTTGACCGCATACAACTTTCTTACAACTTTATGGTATTACGTATAATACTGTGCTAGCCTATCCAAGATAACGAAGGTTTAACTAATTTTACATTTGGAAGCAATCCCCCTAATAGGTGTTCATTTACTAATATATATTAACAAAGAGAAATCCTTACTAAACATTCGAAGTTATTTAAGATTGCTTACAGACATTGATAATGTTTCTTAATACCATTTAAATGTATTTAAATGTACACCTGTTACATAACGCTCAAAAATCATAGGTATCCATATCAATAAAACAAATCTAGACGCATTTACGAAATTTGTACAAAATCTCTTACACTGGTCATTTGTATAAGCTTTAGTGGAGTGGGTTTTAGAAGACTTATGTTTCCCATTTCTGATTGGAATTCTTATAATCCGTTCCGCACTCCCTCTTTTTATTTACTTTTATTTACTTGAAGACATAAATATTGGTACAAGATGGCACCAAATATATATGCCCCACACTTTTGTGTGTGGGCTGTGATACTGCCCGGGTGCCCAGACCGAAGCAGCTGGTTGTCTTCAGTGGCCACACCCCGAGCCTTTAACCTAAAGGTCTGATCCACAAGGTAGTGCGGCATCGTGAGGAGATGCAGTCCCATGGTAGCCGGTGACCAATAATTGGTTCATACCCCATTTGTTCCCGCATGATACTGGAGCCCATGTGCAACACTGGTTTGGAATCCGGTTAAAGCACCGGATATTCGCTCTTCGTCCTCTCATTTTCGTAAACAACACCCTTACCACGAGAAGTCAGTGAGTTGGACTTCGCTGACAGAGGCTCTACACGCGTGGGCGTGTGAGAGTATTTCGAGAGGGAAGGCGGGCCCACCCCACTCTCGGCCATACCAGGGCATTTGGGGGCAGTCTCTCTCTCTCTCTCTCGATATATATATATATATATATATATATATATATATATATATTCACTTGGGTTTGTATTAACAATATTGTTGATATCAAGGTCATTACTTGATCAGTGTTTATCGATATACATACTGATATGCCAAATGAGTATCTACCTGAACTCAATTCCTCAATAGTTGATCTAATTAGATTTTGAGTAATAGATATCAAAAATCAATAATATAAAATAAATCGCTCCACATAATTTCCATTGTCAAACATTAAAACAAGTTTATATTTCAAAATAATATTTATTTTTATTACTGCTATAATAATAACTGAATTTTTAATCAGAGATATGCATGTTGTGTATGCTACTTATATCTGTCAATATAAGTAGTATGTAACACAAATCAAAAATTGGATGGCTAGCAACAAAAGGCTAAGAAGATCGAATTAAAGAAAATAGAAAGAAATTGTGAATTGAAAGAATCATACAGTATGTGAATGATCATTGATGGGAGATTTACAAATAAAACATTTAATGTATGATTCACATATTCTATGTTACTTCATATGAAATAATAATTTAGCTATTCCTATCTGACTTCTCGTTCATTACACGCACACAGACACAGACACAGACACACACACAGATACACCTTACCATCAATTTATTCATAATGATAATAATAATAGTAGTAATAATCTAAACCTAATTAGATATTGATTCATTTATCATGATTTAGCTTCTTTTATCTTTTAATTACTTCAATAAATTAGCAGTTTATTCAAAGAACAAATCAATGAGTTAAAATGAAATGCTGGTTTCCATTCTTTTCTCTTTCTCTTGTCTTATTCCCTATTCTATACCCCAACCCTCTTTTTTTCTTTTGTCTATTCAATGACATCAATATCAAAGACCTAAAATTCCCCCACCCCCCTACCCTTTTTTTTCATATCAACCATCATTATGATTTGGACACATATAAGGTAATATGTAAAATCTGTGTGTATTCTATACTATGAATGCTTGTTTTTTTAATGTATCATCTGACTACTGATTAAAAAAAGGGTATTTCATGTGATTTACTTAGTAACTAATTTAATTGAATCATTAAATTTATGCCAAATTTTGACAATCTTACTTATTATATTGCAATAAAAATATATAATGTCTTCTTTTAATATGAAACAATAACTACCCTTCATCTATATGTGTTAACAATATGAAATGATAAGAAGAACTATGTAGAAAGTAAATACGCTCATGGTAACAATCTCTATGAAAGCATTTGAAAATGATCAATATAAGAAGAGGGATCATATAAGTTTGTTGTGAGTATTGAGGTTTAGATTCAATTGATATCGATGAAATAAGCTTCATTTTGTGTAAATATATATTATTTACAAAACAACCACGTTGTCTGTTAAATAAAGAATACTAAAATGTTTACTCATGAGCAATAAAGAATAATGTTGTTTCTTAAATCCACTTGGTATTATTTGGTTGGATCTTCATATTGATGTTTAGGACTGCAATTAATCAGTCTCTTGTTAATATATGTGCATACCGTGTGTATTGCCTCCATATAGCATTATACGCAAAGAAGGACAATGGCTAGCAGTGGAATCCAGTATTTTGGATGTACTTGCACTTGAGTTAACTGTTCACTCTGGGGCTCGAACTCAGTACCGTTGGCTTCAAGCGCCATAGCATTATTCAATAAGAGACTGATTAATTGCAGTCCTAAACATCAATAAGAAGATCTAAACAAACAATACTAATTGAATTTAAAACTTCACCCCGTTGCACAAGCAAGTGACTGTCATGACTCAATAGGGAAGTGGATAACGCAATGGAGTTTGAAGTGAACAAAACTGGGTTCGAGTCCCAGAATGAGCATCAACACTGCGACGCAGGTACGTCCATCTAATGAGTCCCAAATAGGAGGAAACGGGTGTCTTGTATTGCACTGCTAGTTACTATCCATGTTTGCATATAATGTTGTTTCTTGTTATTTGTAACAATAATGATAAGACTTTACTTTAGACCAGATTGATTTAAGGAATTTGAAGTCAATTTAAATTAATGACATCATAAATGAAAAGAACTGGTCAGTTATTCAATGATGGAATAATCAAAATCAGTTAACAATATGAATAGAAAGTACTTCATATTAAAAGAGTTCTAACTATTTGGTAACTAGTGACTACCTTCTGAAATAATTCACATAATTTATGAGATAAGTTGATATGAACAGAGAAATAATAAAGTCATGACAAGCAACAAAAGATAATTCGGGGGAGATGACGTTATTTCACTCAATTTAAAGTTTGTAGAATACTAAGATTTAGTTTTGTCCTTATGTTGTTCTATAAACAATAAGCTTTCGTTTGATATATGATTCACTGTCATATTCTTATCTGTTCCAAAGCTATTATAATTTAACCTTTTGTACTTTATTTTCCTATCCTAATTCCCAGTTTAGATATGTGCATTTTTCTAATTGTTTGTGAGTCGTGGTCATGTTATTCATATATCTCTTTACACAAATCGGAATCAAGAATCAGGACTCATCTTCTGTCTCACATATTCTCTTGTCAAACAATCAGCTAATAGAACAGTTTTCGTTTGCCTAACATCAGCCGTTAGTCTCAGATCGGACTCACACATTTTTAGCCTCAAATCTGAACTAGTTAGCTTAACATGTTAATGCATTAACCTAGATCAATACAAGTTATCTTCTGTACATTAACGGGTAGACATATCAAGAAGTTAATACACGTAATCGGAAGATTTCAACCATGTTCGAAGTTAGGAATTTATTGATTATCAGAAAAAGTTTATGGAGATTTTAGAGATTTCACAGAATGCAATCATGAGTCAATTGAAGCTAGACCACTATGCAGGATCGTGGATGCGCACTGCTGAGGAGTCCCATACTAGGACGAAACGGCCGTCCAGTGCTTCCAGGTTTTCCATGGTGGTCTAACTTCAACTGACTCATGATTTCATTCTGTGAAATTTATTGATTATTATTTAGGATAGTAGATAAAGTATCAGAATTTGAAGCAATACATCTTGGATTTGAGTCTTGATTTGCTTATCAGCACTAAAATTTAGCTGATGAGCCTGAAATGGAACAAAATATGCTCCTTAGATTTCACTATTAAAAACAATCCAAATGGATTAAGTTATCGAGATCAAAGACTACATCAAAACAATTGCTCATAATAAACAAATAGCAACAAAGACTAATTCATTAGGAGGCTTGATATTAAATATGATAGAATAAAAACGTTAACTAGTGAACAAATTACTACAGGTAAACTTACTACATAATTCAGAAATCGGTTGTTCAACACGATTACTCTGTGTTTGATCATGTTCATCATTAGCTTTATCATCGACAATATCTATATTGAAATCATGGGCGCATTCATTAGCTGACTTATTATTGTTTATATTTAACTTGAGTTCATTTGAAACAGTCAAAAGAAATGGTATTACATCATTCAGAATAATTGCATCTGATAAACGTGTTAGTATAGTGACTAAACAATGTAATGAAGCTAACTAAAGAATAGAAAATAGGAAATGAAATTAATAACATACAGTACGTGGATACATTTACATGTAGATAAATATACTATCAGGCATTTCTAATTAACAAAACGGTATTAATTTTCGTTTAACGACCTTTAGTGAACTGTCAATAAAGCGTCGTTTATGTGATATCCAGCCCTCAAATGCCCTGGTACGGCTGAGGGTAGGGAAAGTCCGCTCTCCCTCTCGAAATGCTCTCACATGGCCACGCGTATGTAGCCTCTGCCAGGGAAGTCCTACTAACTGACTTTTCGCACCATGGGTGTTGTTTACGAAAGTGAGAGGACGAAAAGTGATTGTTCGGTGCTTTAACCGGGTTGGTAGACATGGAGAGTTTACCGAGGGGAGTTGGAAAACCCTTATTCCAAGCCAATGTTGCACATGGGCTCCAGTATCCTGCGGGAACAAATGGCGTATGAACCAATAGTTGGTCACTGACTACCATGGGACTGCATCTCCTAACGCTGCTCCATTGCCTTTTGGATTACACCTTCAGGTCGAAGGCACCGGGTGTGGTCCCCTAATAAAACCACTTTCTTTGATGTGGGTACCGAGGCAGTATTACATCCCACACACAAATTAAGTGACTTATGTGGCACATATCTATTTGTTGACTCCTTGTACCAATGTTTATATGCTAAAGTAAATAAATAGTATCCAGTCACTTTGACTAGTTAACGTAATACAATCTCCACAACCTCATACTGATAATGATTTGTAATTATCACATGAAATATTATTCAGCAATAACTAAGATCTCATAATGCTTAATTTAATTACTTAAAACGTTTGCCCGTTGAAATGGAATTCAAAATTAACACAATTATTCAATAGTTGAGTACATTTAAACAATTCTATAAACAGAAAAGAATCCAAATTCACATGGTATTGTCTACTTGAATCTTCCCATTGATGTGTTTTAAGACTGGAATTGTTCAGTCTGTTATTGACATTTGTGCATACTGAGAGTATTGCCTCGATATTGCCTTAATTCACAAGCATTATAAGCAGAGATGGATAATGGCTAGCAGTAGAATACGCGTTTTGTCCTGTTTGCGAATCGCCAGCTGGATGCAAAGGATGCACATATGCCAATAAAAGACTGATCAATTTCAGTCCCAAAAGCATCAATGGGTTGATGCAAGTAAACAATACCAGGTGAATTTAAACTTCACTTCATTGCATAAACAAATGGTTATCAGAACTCAATAGTTAAGTAGATAACGTATTGGCATTTGAAGCGAATATTACCGGATTCGAGTTGTGGAATGAACATCAACTCTGAGATTCAGATACATCCAGCTGACGAGTCCCAAATGGATTGAAACTCATGTCTTGCATTCCACTGCTGTCCACTATCCACCTTTGCTTAGAAAAGAATTTAATTCAACTTATTGAAAGTATTCATCACAGAAGTATTTTAATTTGATTAATTTCGTAGTTCAATTTGGAATTGAACTGAACTAAAACTAGGCTCAGTTATACTGACATCTTAGCAATATAAAATATTTAATTGTATTCCTTTTTATAATTATGATCTTGTAAGTGACCAGTACGTTTCTGAAATCAACAAACAATCTTTTTTGATTATAATAGGAAATTAAATTCTGTCATCAATAGGCTTAACTATAGTTTAACGGTTGTTCATTGCTTCCAGATTGTCAGTGATGGTCTAACTTAGATTGACTTATGAATTCAACTATTAAAAATTAACTACATTCGTTTCTATCAGTAAAGGGGTTGTGGAGATTATTAAGTTCTTAATTCGGATTACGAACCGATAGATTTTAGACCACCATTGAAAACTTGGAAGCAGTGGACATTAACAGGTATCTACCTCAGTATAATAGAAGATGGTCGCGCAAATTTGTGGATTGGTTGAGGTAAGACATTAACACCGTTGGATGCTCACTCAGTGATCCAGTAGGTTAATCGTTTGATCGCGAGACTGAAGACCTTGGGTTCAAATCCCGCGAGCAGTATCTTGGGTGCGCACTGCTGAGTAGTATCACAATAGGACGAAACGGCCGTCCAGTGCTTCCAGGTTCTCAGTGGTGGTCTAACATCATTCGGTTCATGATCCTTATTAAAAATATTCGTTTTCATTTGTTAAATTGTTTAAATATACTTAGCCATTGAACGATTGTGGCAATTTTGAATACGACACTTATTTAAAGAATAGTGTACTGTTGTAGTTATTAAACTGAATATTATGAAATCTTAACTATTTTTGAGTATTATTTAATGTGTAAAATGAAAACCTAGAAGCACAGGACGATTATTTCATACAAATCACATTCTGTTTCCATTCTCCACTGTTCGATCCTCTCGTCTCTCTGCTGCCAGACATTCTGTTCCTGACTAACGACATACACTACTTATGTCGATATAAGTAGCACACACAACACTACAACTTCTGTTCATCCTCATCATAATTGAAAACAATATTTCACTGTATTTCCTATTTAATTATTGAACTTAGAAAAATAAAACACAGACAGACAAAATCGTCTAAAGTTTTAGCATAAAGCAAGAACTATGATCTAACTGATCTAATGATGTTATATACCTTGTATATACTAAAGGTTTTAGATTCAAGCGTTACCCTAGTCATCAATTCTAAACAAAGTAACAACATTTATTTATATTTCTCAGGTTTTGTTTTATGAATTTCATCAAAGTAAACAATTACTTACAAATAACAAGTTATCAGAAGGTGTTTTGTCGAGATTTTAGAAATTTCACTGATTGAAATCATGAGTCAATTAAAGCTAGACCAACATGGAAAACCTCGAAGCACCGGATGATCGTTTCGTCCTAGTATGGGATTCCTCAGCAGTGCGCATCCACGATCCCTCATCCCGCGAGATTCGAACCCATGACCTATCAGTCTCGCGCGCGAGTGTTTAACCATTAGGCCACTGAGCCGGTCGGCATCCATCAGTGTTAATGTCTAACTTCAACCAATCCACGAAGTTGCGCCACCGTACACCATCGTCTTCAGTGGGTGGTTTTCCGTGGTGATCAAGCTTCAATTGACTCATGATTTTAATCAGTGAAATAACAAGTTGTTATGTGCTCAACATTATGTTGATAATCATTCATTTCTACTAACCTGTAACTGTTGATGATTATATTGAAAAGCTCGTTTAATTTTTTGTAATACAATAATCTCCAAATCTGAAGATGAAATATATCCAACTAACAATTCTAAATTGTTTAATGCAACAATCTATAATACAAGAATAATAATAATAATAATGGTAAAAGATTAGTTATCATTGTAGATACAATTTGTTATTCATCTTTATCAATGTACATAAATTGGATCAGAAAAAGAAAACTATGGCTAAGGACAAATTTCATGTTGTCAAGGTATCTAAGTATATTGTAGCTAGTGATTACGGTTATGTTTTTGATGAATTAGTTACTCAACTGTAGATATATTGAAATAATTTCTATCATGGAATTAACTGAAGATATGATTTTTGCTATGTTGTAATACGGCCGACTGTGCTACACTTAACACGTCCGTAGCATGGTGAAGTAGAATTTGTCGTCGTAAAAAATTTGAGATTTTTTTTAATGTACATCAATGAAAACAACACAGAACAACACAAACTCTCCAGAATGGATTACAATAATGTAAATAATAATCCCCCCCTTCATTTTGGTAGGTTGCCAAGTGCTAAGTCATAATAAAGAACGAGAATGGAATTTATCCTTACCCGTTTTTTCTGTAAGACTTATACTCAACTTTTGATCAGATTGATTTATGTTGAATTATATCTAATTAGTTTACGTTAATGATAAAAATTATAACTTTATAAAATTCTAGTGAAAAGCCGTGACCAGTGGAGCTAATCCGTATTGGGTAGAGACAGGCATCTATCTCTGATAATGGAAAATTCTATTGCAGTTTTTTTGACTGATTGAAGTTTGCTCACGCTAAAATGGTCTTGGTTTCCAACTCTGCTTGTCAGATTGCATATGCGCACTTCTTAAGAGTCCTATACTAGGACAAAACGGTCGTTCATTGTTTCAACATTGGTTTAACACTGATCGACTCATGATCTCAATCAAAAACATAACAATCTTCACAACCTCATTACTGAAAGTTATTTCAATCAGATTATAAGAGATCATTTCGTTCGATTAAATGTATATTCATTATAAATTTTACATTTAATAATAAGCGTGTGAACCTTTTATTTCATTAATCAGGGAAATTCATTTTCCCCCTTAAGTACCTAATTAGTTTATAAAGATCAAAGTTATTCCTACGTATGTTAATTGTACCTCTAACCGACGAATTCAAGATAAACGTTTTCAACTAAATTTCGACTCGTTAACGAAAATTGGACAACAGTTAAGCGTTGATATTCATACAGTCTAAACAAACTCAGTAACAGTTTCGTCCAACTGCAGTTCATTTTATTAGCATTTTACAAAAAGTGTGGTCTATTTCTGACCAAACTAGAATAAACAAGAAATTTGTGACAGGTACTGTGAATCACTGAAAATGTAGTGCATGGTACAGTCTATGCATACTTCATTCAGTCAAGTGTCTACTAATCGAACCTTAGAGTATAAAGATTGTCTTAACCAAAGATAACGTATAGTGAACCAGATATGCTTTTTGATAAAGAAAAATTGTATCAACATAATCAATCTATTAGGCATACAAACGAAGGCCATCAAAGTTTCGTTCTGTGAAATTAATGGCAAATCAATCTTTTCCTCTTAAATATATTATTGATTGTACAATCGTCTTAAACGTTCTCCTGAGATTGTTCAAACAAATAAAATTCTTAGCTCTGGTTCATCATCTGGGTATTACATCAGTTGGTGTAGATTTGGACAAATCATTCATAGTTAACTTTATTATTAGTGTAAGGAGTTTGCCTAGATTGTTGAATTTAATGATTTGCATTCTAAACAGGATTTATTCAAACAACTGTTTAAAATCAAGAGGTATTAGATAGATATTTCGTTCTATTATAGAAGTCCACAATATTGAAAATCACCTATTCCACTAAAGATCAAACTCAGGATATTAAGGTCCTGTGATAAGTGCGAGATCTCAATACCACTCAACCGGATTTTAAGAGTTTTGATATCTAGCCTCGGTCAATTCAAAACATGGTGCAACTGTTTCACGATCGACATATTTGAACTCCACTGTTTAAAACCTACCACTAGAATTTCTGAATTATATGCTCGAAACAAGCAACTAGAGAGTTCATGAAGATTGTAAGGTCCAACTTTGGGTGGCTTCATGGATGTATACAACTAAGAAGTCCCATACTAGGAAAATAAACGTCTCTTAGTTGCTTGTAGTCTTAAATAAATGTCTAACCTAGGTTGATTCATAACATCAATAACATGTTTCATTATCAAACGTTTAGAAAAACAAAAGACGTATTCTCACCTTGTTTTCACCATCTAATTATTTTGATCGAGTTTTGCTCTCTGAGCTGGATGGTTTGGTTGTGGAGCTTTCATCGTTATTTTGAACGACAACATCAACACAAACTTTCGATGGAAGTGAAATGTTCAATTTTCTCCATATATGGTTCATAGTTTATCCTGTAGACCTTGATGTTGATTGATTATTGTCGACATTAAACCTGTCATTGTTTACTTCTTTATTTTAGTTGTATTTCCTATTGGTTTGATATTTGGTCATATAGTTGTCCATGACCAAACCATTTAGCTCAGAGAACAAAAATTCATCAAAATCATCCACCTGAGCTACAAATCTTCTCCACCATCTTAATATTTAATTATCCTTTTAGTGGTCAAACGGTCGCGCGCAAGACTGATAAGTCTTAGGTTCGAATCTCACGAGGTAGGATCGTGGATGCACACTCCTGAGGAGTCCTACAATGGGATGAAGTAACCATTCAATACTTCCAGGTTTCCCATGGTGATCTAACTTCAATTAATTCATGATCTCAACCATTAAAATTGCTATAATCTCCACAAAAACCTTTCTTATATCTTTATATCACTTTATTTAATGATTTATCCTACCTTCTATACTTCATCTAATTAAGCCCAACATTGTATTATTCTATTCGTAGTCTTAGACTCATTACTTTATTACAGAACATCATATTTCACTTATACTTCATCAGTATATTCAAAGAAACATTAATTAGCAACAAAAAGGTAAAAGAAAAAAACAACAATAACAAATAAGAATTCACTTCATTTATTCTTTCCAATTATTTTCAAGTTGTTATTTTCAATTAAATTTACTTTCATACAAATAAATTAACCATTTTGTTTATCATTAATCATCAATCTATGTATTTGTGTTTTATACACTTCACTGATTATGATTATGGTTATTGTTTTCAGATGTTACAAGATTTTTTTGGATAATTTTTTCTGGTTAGCGTTTTTTTAGCGAGTTAGTTTTCTACGGAATGGGGACGCTAACCCCATGCCCGACCCTCCTCCTTTATCCGGGCTTGGGACAGGCAGTAGCCCCCAAAAGTCCTCCAGGCGGAGTTAGATGTTACAATATATAATTGACTTATTAGAAGAGGGTTTTATAGAGATTTTAATAATCTAATGGTTTTGTTCATGAGTCAATTAAAGCTAGACTATTATGGATAACTTAGAAGCACTAAACAACCTTTTCATCCCAGTATGGGACTCCTCAGCGGTGCGCAGTACGAGCGGGATTTGGGATGCACAATGTTGAAGAGTGCCGTATTAGGATGAAGTGGCTGTTCAGGGAGAAATAAACTTATTTTCATTATTGTATAATAGAAATATAATGTAAATGAAAATTACCTGAGCTGTAATATTATTTGATACTAAACATTGTTTCATTAATGGTAAAATATACTGTTCAATTACATTGTCTGGAACTTGTCTTAAAAATGATCGTGTATGACGTACTAAACATATTTTTGTCTAAAATGTAGAAAGCAATACAATAGGAGATTAATACAACACATTGATACATAGTAAATGTTATATACATAATATAAGCTTTTATGGTAGGGAGGGATTAAAAAACTGTGTGAAGGATTAATATTATGCATTTCAGTTGATAGCTAGGGGTTAGAAACTTTGAAGTTTGTGCTAATGATGTCGTTCAGAAGAATGATGAAATCTCCACAACCGGACTATCCAAAGGGTTAGAGACTCCATCCTGTAGAAAACTAACTCGCTAAAAACGCTGACCCTTCAGTAGCGATCTGAAGTCAGTAGCTTAGTGAATAAATGAATAGTATTTGAAGTGAAAGTTAACAGATTCAAGTTGTAATAGAAACAATTAACAATGAGATTCTGATGCACATAGATAATGAAATATAAATAGAATATAACTAGTGTCCAGATATCTACCGCTTCATACATGATATGAACATGGACAATTTAAAATCCGGATATCAACTCCGGATCTTCAAAAAAAAGGGAGGTGATATGATGGGAAGAACAATCAATTTTCGATTGATTTACTCATTGTGAGTTTTGTTCAACATTATTTCCCTTTTTATTCAATGTGATGCGTCACAAGACAAGCCCTCACATAGAATCCTCAAGGCCAAATGAAAAGAGGAAGACCAAAGAACACATTACGCCAGGAAATAGAAAGAGACATGAGAAAAATGAACAAGAATTGGATGGAACTAGAAAAGAAGGCCCAGGACAGAGTGGGTTGGAGAATGCTGATCTGCGGCGTATGCTCCACTAGGAGTAACAGGCGTAAATAATAAATAATCAATGTAATGATCATTTAGTGTTTATTGTTTTCCCAGTATGATATTTTCTTCTTGCATTCACTTGACATGAACTATGCTCAGTAAGTGATTTGCTATAACTGAGTATGTGATCTAATCCTAATTATTAATCAAAATGGGTGTACAGTCAATATATAAACCAGTGTATTCTAGACTGTTGTGATTCATTCATTATTATTATTATCATCGTCATAGTGTTTGGGGCTAGTGAATCTTCACTTATATCAGTCATGTGTTCTTACGTTCGCATCGTGGGAATTGCCGATGTCCCTCGTTCCGAATATAAGTGATCAGTGTTTCCTTTCCGGCACAACAATTGCGATGACCGAATATAACAATACATTTGTACTTATCAATTTTGATGATTAGTATTATGGAACTATTTAAGTAAATCTGTACTAAAATCAATGCAACATTCACCATAACAACTAAGACTTACTTTCAAATTTGAACTTTTATCAAAGATATTTATTAAATCTTTCTCAATATAATCTGTATAATCTATTGAAGAGCAAACTTCAATTAAATGAGCTAAACCAGAAATTAATAATGAATCTAAATGAATACAAATATCTTCATGTGATACTTGTGATACAGAGTAATGAGATGTTAACATTGTTGTATTGTAATCATTGGATTGTTTGTTAAATTGTCTTGTTTCTAGTTGTTGATGTAATTCAATCAATGTAGGCATTATTCGACCATAAAGAATTGGCTGTTATAAGGTTAATTCAAGATGAAAAACATCAAGTAATATATATTAAGCAATCTATTGTATACATCGTTTTTTACATATGACTACTAATAAATATACATTTTGATGAAAGGTTTTTTTTAACCTTTGACTGTCTATGATCACAAATAATTAACAGAAAGGAATATATAGAACCTTGAATAAACTGAGAAGCTGATTGGAAGTAATCAACATGAAACTCTGAACCTAGGTCTTATACTATTTGGCACTCGTCAGCAAGGTGCACCAGTAATGTCATCAAGGGAACTGATGTACCCTAACAGATCCAATCCCGTGTCATCTAGCTTCACGATTAGGGATGCGACTGATCTCTTTTATGACTGATATATATTTACAATAAACTGATCATTGGGTAATGACCAATGTCATCAATATTAGATGATATTATATAATATATAATAGTATGGATATTAACTAATCTAAAGCGAAATAACATAAGTATTAGAAAATATAACTCATTGAGTTCATAATTCTCCCCAATTACATATTAATTCTCTGATTAACAACCTTTGTAACTACAACATTCTCTTTAAATTATCAACTACGATGAATTGATCACTTTCTTATTTAACATACCCAACAACGACTAATTCTCATGTATAATTTTATTTGAGAATCGTTAGCTGAATATATCTTAGTATTATTGTTAATGATTTGACTGAGATTTGAACAAGAGCCAGATGCTATAAACGTTAATATGTTATTACGTAGGATATTGAGTCCCAGATGTATTACACTATTAGTTCAAAACTATACTTACTTATTTACTTACGTACCTACTTACTTACGCCTGTTACTCCTCGTGAAGGAACATAGGCCGATCACCAGCATTCGCCATCCAACCCTGTCCTCAGCAATCCTTTCCAGCTTCTTCCAGTTGTTATTCATCCTTTTCATATCTGTTTCGATTTGCCGACGTATTGTGTTCTTTGGCCTTCCTCTTTTCCGCTTCCTTCAGGATTTCAAGTTAGGGCTTGTCTCGTGATGCAGTTGGATGATTTCCGTGATGTATGTCTAAACCACTTCCATCGTCTTTCCCTAATTTCCTCTTCACCTGGAAGCTGGTGTGTTTTCTCCCACAGTAGGCTGTTACTGATGGTATCCGACCAATGGATGTTGAATATCTTGCGTAGACGGCTATTTATAAATACTTGTACCTTCTTGATGGTGGTTGTTGTAGTTCCCCAAGTTTCAGCTCCGTACAGTAGAACTGCCTTGACGTTCGTATTGAAGATTCTCACTTTGATATTGGTTGACAGTTGTTTTGAGTTCCATATGTTCCTCAATTGTAGGAATGCGACCCTTGCTTTGCCAATCCTTGCCTTTACGTGTGCATCTGAGCCTCCTTGTTCATCGATGATGCTTCCCAGGTACGTGAAGGATTCTACATCTTCTACAGTTTCGCCATCGGTAGTGATTGGATTGCTGTTCTCCGTGTTGTATTTCAGGACCTTGGTTTTCCCCTTGTGTGTTTTGAGGCCTACTGATGCAGAGACTTCTGATACACTGGCTGTCTTTATCTGCATTTAGTTCAAAACTGTACTATACTATAATATAGATACTGATAAAACTTAATCCTTTATGTTAAACACTATAATCAATCATAATATAAACTCTATTAAAAGTAAATTAATTCAACAATAGATTATTGAAACAATCGACAAGACTATAATTTATGAACGAACCAATTACGTATAAGATGGCAGGTCTCGCATTTTGACACGATATTCATTCATCCATTTGGATAAATAGAATCTTAGCATTATAGTTGATGTCAGTTCGTGATGAATAACCGAAATCGAATTCTTAAGTTTAATCATCAACTGTAAATTATAATTGTAATTTCTCACACAAGTTCATAAACCATATTTAGTCCTGAATGTTAAATGTACACTTTCAAAGTCAGTCTAACGTTAGTCAAAAGTCGTCCATGAATTATAGTTTCATTATAAACACGATTTTACTAAACATACTTTTGATAAATTTTCTGCATTATTTTGTAAAATTTGTAATGCTCTTGTTCTATCTTCATCAGATTTCACATCGAAATTAATAATTCCATCTAATAGTAACATTGTAGGATCGTTGAAAAATTTCAGCTAGAAATGAATAAGAAAATTGATAATAAATATTGGCACTGTTTAAATGAAAATATTTGTTAACTTATGATTAGTTGAGAGATATCCGCTGGAACATTCTTTAAAGAATAAGGATACAATAGGTAGATATTATGTAAATATTCATTGAGTGGAATTCGTCACTATACATCAACGTCATTGACTATGAAAAAACGTTTGACAGTGTAGACAGGAGAACATTATAGAAACGTCTTAGACACTATGGAGATCATACGACGTACTAAAACGCAAAGTCATGCGTGAAGGACAGTTGACAGATGCATTCCATGTATGAACCGGTGTCAGACAAGGCTGTCGACTCTCCCCCTCCTTTTTCTTCTAGTGGTTGACTGAATTATGAAGACCTTGACATCTGAGGGAAAGCACGGAAAACGACGAACAGCTCAGAATCAACTTGAAGATTTGAACTTCACAGATGATCTAGTCCTACTATTCCATACACACGAACTAATGTAGATGAAAACAACTAGTGTAGTAGCAGCCTCTGTATCAGTAGGTCTCAACATGCACGAGGAAATAAACCAAGATCCTTAAATACAAAACGCAGAACGCCGATTCAATCAAACCTAATGATGAAATTCCGGGAGATGTGGAATCTTTCACGTAACTGGACAACATAATCGATAAACAAAAAAATCGGATACAAACGTAAAGGCAAGGATTGGCAAAGCAAGGATAGCATTCCTACAATTGAAGAATATATGGAACTTGAAACAACATAGCGTTATCCACTTAGCTACTGAGTCCTGATAGCCACTTGCTTGTGCAATGGGTTGAAGTTTAATTCACTTGATATTGTTTTACTTGAATCTTCCCATTGATGTTTTTGGACTGAAATTGATCAGTCTCTTATTGGCATATGTGCATACTGTGCGTATGCCTCGATATTGCCTTAATTTACAAGAATTATAAGCAAAGATGGATAGTGGCTAGCAGTGGAATCCAGGACGCGCGTTTCGTCCTGTTTGGGACTCGTCGGCTGGATGTACCTGCATCTCAGAGTTGATGTTCACTCTGGGACTCGAACTCAGTACCGTTCGCTTCAAACGCCATCGCGTTATCCACTTAGCTACTGAGCTACGAGTCCCAGAGTGAACATCAACTCTGAGATGCAGGTACATCCAGCCGACGAGTCCCAAACAGGACGAAACGCGCGTCCTGGATTCCACTGCTAGCCACTATCCATTTTGGTATATGTTCACCCACCCTTAATTGCAAATCACGATTGCTCCTCCCTACGTACGTGTTTCCACACATACATGTAAATTTATAGACACAATGGGATGTGACACAATCGTTTTCATGCTGTTTGGGCTTTTGGTGAAACATAGACCTTGTCTTTTCGATAATGACAAGTTGGGCTAATTTAAGTCTCTGTTTCAACATGAGACTATGGTGAAATAAGATCACAGGATAAACAGACATCATCAACCATTGCGAAACATTTGATTGAGACGGGTCATAAGGTTGATATCAAATCAGCATTTGTTGTGTTGTACAAAAGCCTTCAAGGACGTATACTAAGCTTGATTGAAGCCTTGGCTATACGAAAATTGAAACCCCCTTTAACTGTTCAAAAACAATTTGTGCTTACACTTAACCTACCCTGGTAGTACTGATTTACTGTCCAGAGTGGTAATCATATTTGTTTTTGTGTACTTTAATATTTTTCTTTTGTTATGACTTACCCTTAACCTGTCTAGTTGACCTTTAAATTTTTCTTATATAAATGTTCTTAACAAGTATATGTGTGATCAGATTGTTCGAAATGTATTGCGCAAATATATCACATAATTCTGATAAACTACGTCTTCTCATTGCATTATCGAAATTTATCGAAGGGACTAATTGTTTTAAATAAACACAAATATTTTATTCGTTCAGAGAACTACAACTCAGTTGATTCCCGGAATAGCGAATCTCCTGTGTGATACACGACTGGCCAAGCTAAACCTTTCCAGTTATCATATCGGAGGACAAGAGGCACCTGATATGCCCTCATTTTTCTTGTCTTCCAAAACAGAGAATTTACGAGGACACCCAAAATGTTCATAAACCCGGTACAAATTACTTGTCAGCTGACTATCGACTTTCCCATCGAATCATCAACGACTGAAGTTCATTACCTCAGCACATAGTTGAGGCTCCATCTCTTGATTCTTTCAAAAGAAATTTGGATCAACTGAGAGACAGGCCATCAAGCCTCCTGTCTTTCCCAACTGAAACTGAAGAAATCAAACTTTTCAATCGTACATTTTTCTTTTATCATATACTTAAACGATGTTTGCTAAATTCACTTCAGTCACTGAAACAGTGAATCGATGATCGGAAACAATATAAGATCATACTCATTTGATGTTTTGATTATGATCGAAGTCTGGCAATCATCCTGTTTTTACATCATTCCTGCCGTTTACAAGTCGATTTATTTGAAAGATGTTTTTGTCAATGTATGATCTCCAAAAACAATAATCAATATTTATTGAATATTTAATCTTCATTATGGAAGTAATTATAATTAAATAATTATGATCAAAAAAGATTCTTTGAAGCAAATAACTCTTAACAATATCGAATGAAGCAATATTCATCTTTATCATCAGTTGAATACCGGCGAAATGACCGACCAAATATTGTCTACAGAATTAGTCAAGTGCAACAATATCTTTTTATATGTGTCATAATCATATGAAAATTTCAACCTTGTTGTTACTATTCAGATTTTATTTGCTCTTCATCTTCAGTAATTTTATTATCTTTCATAAAGTTTTCATTATATCGATTTTCCTATAACCTTCTTTGAACAAAATAATCGTTGAGTATGGCAGAAAACTGGATGACTGCATCATTCCATTATGAGATATGTTAATAGTAATTATGATGAAATCTAAAACACTCCAACCTTAATATGAAGACCATACACTCAAATCATCAGGTTGAAGTTCACTTATTTAAGACAAAAAAGAATTATATAAAAAGTAAAGGTGGATAGTGGCTAGCAATGGAATCCAGGACGTGCGTTTCGACCTATTTGTTACTCGTCAGCTGGATGTACCTGCATATCAGAGTTGATGTCGACAAAACGCGCCTCCTGGATTCCAATGCTAGCCACTATCCATCTTTGTTTAAAAAGCTTGTGATTTAAAACTACATGAAGGCAATCCGCACAGGATGCACATATGCCAACATGAGACTGATCATTTGCAGTCGTAAATAACATTTGGAATATACAAATAAAACAACATCAAGTGAATTACATAATAGTAGAAAATTTTCATTTAAAAAAAGAAACATACTAAAGCAAATAATTGAGAACTAGGTCTCTTTTGTGAATTCCTTGATAGTAATTTTTCCACAGGTTCAACTAATTCTAAAGGCATACGACATACTGACAATCGAAATGCTTCAGGTATCTATTAAAATAAATAAAATCATGTTTATATAAAGAATAAGTAAATATGTTAAATTATTCTATGTAAATATATATTAAATGACAATAGAAATAATTCTCTTATGATAGAATGTGCATTGCTGAAGAGTCCCATACTGAGACGAAACAGTCATCCAATGCTTCCAGGTTTTCCCTGATGGTCAAGGTTTAATTCAATTCATGAACTCAATTATAAAATATTTATTTATCAACTGGATAAAGTGAGATTATTATGATTGATAAGCGCGTAATTTCTAATATAATCATGTGTATAATATAACATGTGATAATGAATAATTAACTTTCCTTATGTAATTTTAATATCACATGTAATAGGAAAGTACGTAGATATTTCTGGACAATTGTTACCATGGCAATAAAATAACAATAATTCCCTGATCATACAATGTAAGCTGTCAAGCAACAGCAACAACAACAAAAAGCAGAAGACATTATACTTTATTGTTAAACTTCAGAAACCCTATATATGACTTGGAAATGTTCTGGACTCCTAATACTTAATGAGTACACACTTGAGCTTAATGAACAATGTGACATTGAATTCATAACGAAATTTATTAAATGTATATTCTGGTTTTATATAGCTTGTGAATATTTCAAAGTTAGATATTGACACCGTTGGATGCCGACCAGTTCAGTGGTCTAGTGGTTAAGCGCTCGCGCACAAGACTGATAGGTCTTTGTTGGGGTGATCCAGAAAATTGCTTGCAAAAGACAAGCAGGCATCAGAAAATACTAAGAAGCGTTTCATTCAATCAGCATTCAATTGAAGTTTTAGCCAAAAATATCAAGGAAGCGAAACGTCACATGCAGAGGCTCTGATTGACTGGCTGCTACACTGCTACTATGTTTAGTAGCATTCTAGAATCTTCTAACAACCCAAAGACATTTAAAAAATTATAAAAACCCTGTATTTTCTGTATTAAAATGAACCTTGGAGTAAACTACTTCTCGCATAGTTTGCATCTTCTCTCTCGTGTTCAGGTCGCTGTATAGTTCTAGCTTGGGAGTTACAGAATAGCTTAGGAGAGGAATATAGCGTTCAGTCTCCCAAGACTTATCTGTCTTGGGTTTGAATCTCACAAGGCTGGACCGTGGATGCTCACTGTTAAGGAGTCATACAATAGGACGAAACGGTCATCTAGTGCTTCCAGGTATTTTATGGTTGTCTAACTTCAATTGACTCATTAATTCAACTATTAAAAGAAATTATCATTAAAATCAATTAGTTTACCATAAAATCTTACATTTGTACTTTGACTTAATTGAATTGCATGAAGATATTCTGTACTAGTTTCTTGTATAGTATTTTCTTTACAATTTACAAATGATATCTCTGTATTTGTATATGAATCATTATCAAATCCACGTTTTTTTATATTTTGTAACCATTGAACTGATCCTTCAGCTGGACTATTATTTGTATATAATGCACAAATAATTAAACCTAATGAAAACATATCTGACCATGGTCCAGGTATATCATCAGATAAATTAGATCGAGACTTCATTGTTGATGTTGTTGTTGTTGTTTCTATTGTATGATCTGGACTATTTCTATTAGTTAAATGATATAAATCTGTAGATGTTTTAGTAAGAAATCCAGCAAATGAACTTGATATATTACTATTATTATTGTTTGTTAGATTCAAACATTCTGGTGCTGAATAATGATAATCTGGTCTAGCCATTTTTGGCCATTTTCTTGTCCATGGTGACGGACCTAATTCATACTTTGTTAAATAGGAAAAAACGAAGAAAGAAGAACGAAAATATAAAAACAACATCGTATAGTCGAACGAAGTTGTCTGACGGCAAAGAAAATTAAGTTTCTATATAATCAAAGCTTCATATTATCACTGACTAAATTCACTTTTGATCAACGTTGTAACAGCTTTATATTTTAATCTAAACACTGATTGATTTTTAGAAAGGCAACTTATGATTTTCAATTAAAACTATCTCTATTGGCTTTATATCACAACACAAGTGATATGAAGCCAATTAGAATAGTGACTGAATTACACCTTGATCAGTAATAAGCATTAGATAAGTTTTCCATTGCTTACTACTCAATGGTAAGTCAATATAAATGTAACGGGCTATATTTGATATAAGATAGGTATAAACTATCAATTAAGACTATGATCTAGTCAGTGAATCAACTCTATAATTTTGACAAAGTTAATGTTCTACATGAGATCGGTAATAGTAATCAATATATATCTCACAAGTGACTTATTTTTTCTGCAACTGAGCTACTATGATTAAATGTAAACAAATGTTGTAGTGCATATCTGGTGTTTAGTTCTGATTAAATTCTAATGATCTGATGCACATACATATTGCTTTAAATACAAAATTAAGTTACGTAAAGACGATTATGAATGTGTATATGTATTTTTCGACTAGTCTCCATAACTGAATAGCAACATCATCAAGAACTTATAATAAAAAGCTTGATTCGATGTCGTTTGAAGCAAACGGTACTGGGTTGAAGTTCCAGAGTGAATATTAAATCTGGGATTCAGTTACATCCACATGACAAGTCCCGAATAGGACGAATCACGCGTCCTGAATCCAACTTCTAGCCAATATATATCTCTGCTTATAATTACAGTTATTGTTTTACATTTTTCAAGTTCTTTGTAAGATGCAGGAATAAGATCATTTGTCTGATGGATCAAGCTTTCAAACTGAATTTTTGCACTAATCCTATTAACATTCGTAGAAGCCTAATAGAATCTTGGACTTAACAATAGTGCTTGTAATTGCATTGTGGATGAAGTTATATTAGATTAATTAAAAAGACGTATTTTTTCAAGCCAATATGGAATGGTCAATATACAAATATTTAAAGTCGGATCTCACTGAAGTAAAAAATAAGCCTAATTCGTTTTCCCTATTCAAAGCTAGACGCATTTATAACAAAGATATAATCAATACCAAACTTCATAAACTATGACAAACACTGACCAACAATCTAGACCACCATGGAGAACCTGAAAACACTGAACGGATGTTTCGTCCTATTGTGGGATTCGTCAGTAATCGTGAGTTCGAATCTCGCGAGGCACGATCATAGATGTGCACTGTTGAAGAGTTCCATACTAAAACGAAACGACCGTCCAGTGCTTCCAGATTTTCCATCGTTGTCTAGCTTCAACCATCCAAATTACTATAATATTCACACAAAAAACCTTCTGATATGAACTAAACAATATTTGATATTATTTAAGTATTTAATGATTAGAAAAGAACTAAATAATGCAATCTATTAATCCAGTAAACTAATTTACTTTATAGCAATTAAACACCCTTTTATTTTCTATTCGTCCTAATATGAATTCATGTCAATCATCGAACATAAAATGAAACCATTTATGATTGTTACAGTTTTCATCAAAGAATGAATTCATTTCCATTAAAAGCATTTCCAAACATTTCAATCTCCCTCTCTCCCTCTCGCTCTTTAATGAATATATCATCGAATAATGAATGTTTGGATATGACCAATCATATAATATATTTCAATGAAAAATTAAACTTTATATTTTTTTTGTTTTTTCTAATTGTTTAATATAAAATTGGCTTAACGACAACAACAACAACAACAACAAGAGGAACAAAGAAAAAACAAAAGGAAAATTTGATATGTCAATAATCTAATCTAATTGATTGAGTAGAAATATGAAAAGGAAACTTTTGACCTTGAACTTTTGATTCTCTGTTTTTTTCATTTTTTTAAAATGTTTTTCTTTCTTTTTGAAATAAACTATTTTTTCTCAAAAAAAAAAAACTTTAAAGGTTATATTTGATGGAAATGAAATTAACTAATTAATTTATAAGGTTAGAATAGAACTAATGATGGAGTATAGTTTTCAATCAACATGAAATTAAAAAAAGATGGGAAAAATAATCAGAAAAAATAAACATGTAAAATGATGTGAACAGAGAAACAAGAAACCTTGACAAACTAAGGAAGCTAGTTTTTGGGACGTTTATTTCATTTCATTCAAAGCTTGTAAAACAATAACATTTATTTTTGTCCCTAATCTATTCTATAGAACATCAGCTTTCGTTTGATGTATGATTCACTGCCATAGCCCTTTTTGTTTCAAAGCTATTGTATATTTTGTACTCTATTTTCTATGCTAATCTACAGTTTTGGACATATTTGTATTTTCCTAATTATTGTACGTTATGATCTGGTTAGTCATCTATTTATTCATATATCTTTTTACACTGATGTGGAAATCAGGAACCAGATCGGAATTGAGAATAAATCGTGTAGTGTTCCAGTTGACTTGTCTTCTCTCACTCTCATGCTTGTCAGCCAATCAGGTGATAGAATAGTTTTCGTCGCTCTCACTTCGAACTAATGCATACTAGCCTTAAGGTTAAACCAGTCAGCCTATCGCATCAAAGTCTTAATCTAGATTAGACAAGTTATCCTCAGCACCAAAAGTGAGTAGGCAGATCAAGGACATAACATAAAGAAATGAATATTAGCTCACTAATTTGAAGATTAAATGCTTATAGTAAGGTCTATGATGATGGTATGATGGTATGATCTGTGACAATATCATGATTGAAATGATACAGCTAAAAGATCTCATACTGATTCAAAATATCCATATAGGGTTTCATGGTGAAGACAGTCACTTTAGTGACAATCTCTGATGCAGTAAGCGCCAACATTCATTAAGGTAAAGTGAGATCATGAGATACAACACAGAGAGTGCAAATTAGATCACTCTTCATAGAGAAGCTCGTACCTGGACAGTATTACCGATCAACAAGCGGTATCTGATACAGATGTGGAAGGACGGATTGGTAAATTAAGAGCAACATTCCTAAAATCAGGGAACATCTTAAACTCAAAACAAATATCAGTCAACATCAAAGTTAGAATTTCCAATACAAACGTGGATAAAGTTTTATTGTAGGGGGCTGAAACTTGGAGAACTATTAAACCATTATCAAGACATTCCCAGTATATATAAACACCTGTTTGTAGAACATACTCCAGGTCGTTTGATGAGACATTATCAGCCACACTTCATTGTGTCCGTGGAGAAAGCAGCTTCCAGATGAATAGGAGTTAAGAAAACTACATTGGAGGTGTATGGGACATAGATCGTGAAAATCATCAAAATGTATCACGAGGCAAGCCCTAACTTGAAATTACCAAAGTAAAAGTAAAAGAGGTAGACCAAAGAATACATTGGTCAGAGAACTGGAGACATACATCAAGAGAATGAATGGCACACTTGTCAACATCTGTAAACGAGAGCTCAGGACATCGTATGTTGGAGATCCCTGTTTGGTGAATTATTGTTCACAGGGGTTACAGGCATAATTAATTCAATACTCTACAGTAATTTACACACAGATGATGCACCTGTAGTAAGCTCATTCCCTTACTGTATTATTTATCTGTTCACTGAAATTTAGACACTTGATTCACCATGTAATTTTCTCTGTGATTCTGATTGAGCACATGTCAATTTTTAATCTATTCTCCCATTGGTTGTAATACACACACAATCAATAATTTATTCATACTTGATTAACACTCACAAATATATATGGATTTTTAACTAACACACACACACACACTCTTGTTTTCCCTGTGTGCTATCTGTAGAAGTGGTGTTCAGGATTTTGAATAATCTCGAGTAAATCCATAATTCTACTGGAAGATTTAGATAGCGTTAAATACTCAGTCAACGGGATATCATTTATTGGAGTCAGATATAGAGGATACTTGCCTCTACGACCTAACTTGTTATTCTAGGCTTATTCTTACTAACTAACCTTAATCATTTAAAATTATAATTGACATCATATGTTCATGATAACTCCATGTGGTGTCAACCCTAACTCAAAATAATATCCCAGTTACTTGAACGTAAATTTAATTGTTTTCCATTAGTACAAAGAATAATTTAGGATATGAGCGTTAACAATTTAGAACAAAGTTGTTATTTAGCTACATTTTATTGTTAATTATTCTGTAGCAATTCATCGTTTCCCCTCACATGGAATCCTCAAGGCCGACGGAAAAGAGGAAGACCAAAGAACACATTACGCCGGGAAATGGAAATAGACATGAGAAAAATGGACAAGAATTGGATGGAACTAGAAAAGAAGGCCCAGGACAGAGTGGGTTGAAGAATGCTGGTCGACTGCCTATGCTCCATTAGGCGTAATAGGCTTAAGTAAGTCATTGGCTGATTAATCATTCAAAAACGTAAGTTTATTGTACTTTTAACCAATAAAACTCAGTAAAACAAACATTCTTACTTGAGATATATCATGTTTTTCTAGACGGGTAGATTCTATGAAAGCAGCAGATGCAAGTCGCCATTGATTTCGATGTGTTATTAAAATTGAACATGGTGAAACGTTATTATGAAACAATGATTGACCAGTGTGTAGAAATCGTAATAACTCATTTAACTATAGAATATAGATAGAAACAAAATGATATGTAAGTCATTTCAAGGATAATTAATCAACAAAAAAACGTATACTGATTCATAAATATAGCACACAACCAAGTGTTTGGAATAGTTTCAATAGAAATCGTGAGGCTAAATTTCAACATGTTTAACTAAATATTCAAAATCTTGAAGTTGAGGTTCTCGAAATACTATGTATTTGTATGTATGTAATGTGATAGATCTTATGATTTTGTGCGCGTAATACGCTTCTCGTTGTTCGAAAATGGGAGAATTTTGCCAAAAGGCAGGCTTCCACTCGAGAACAACTATATTTCCTCCATAAATGTCTTCACCAGCATGTTCTACCAACAAGTGTAAGACATAGACCTCCAATCAACTGCTCATTAGGATGGAAAACAGCTGAGCAAAGTGGAAGAAAAATGGTACACTTAATGATAACGGATGCACTGCCTCGATTCTACGGCAGACCAAAAATACACAAATCAAACATTCCACTACGTCCAATTGTAGCACTCCCCGGAACATCAACACACAATTTGTCAAAAGAAATTTCACAAATACTGAAACATTTAGTAGATTCATCTAACTACTCCATCAAATCCCCCACACAATTCCTGGACCAAATTAAGGACATTCAAATCAACAACGACGAACTGATGATATCCTTCATGATAGATCTTACTCATTGTACAGTGACTAATTTATCATTATAATTGAAAGCAGCTTGAAAAACAATTATATCACAAATTTCATAATGATAACTTGGTAAACAACTATTAAGATCAGTTAGCTAATCCTATCAAGATAATCATGAGACACCATCAAACACTGAAGATCTATTTCATATTAGTATACGAATCCTTAAAAATGCGCACCTTCAAGTTCATCAAGGATAGGTCTCACTATCTACATTGTGATCAAAACTTTACTACTTAACATACATCATCTGCAATATCTTTTTTAATTCATACTAAGAGGATCCTTCTGTATAGTTTTCTCAGATATTCAATCCTAATGTCAATTAGACTACAAAGTAAACATTCTACATATGACTCGAAACAAACCATCATTTGTCTTCTTCTCACAAAGAGATAAAAATAATCAATATTTACGATGTCACATTATTCTATATTGTACAGTTAACTAATCTGCATAGTTTGTGGGATTTATGTTAAAATTTCAAATCTCTGAATCAAAACAAAATTAACGGCTAGTTGGACATTTGAAATTCTCGCATAACAGTTGACAGTTCTCGGTAGTTTTGGAAAATAAAGTTTGTCAGTAATGTGAAAAGTCTTCATATAGACACCAAAGTTGAATACAATTTTATGCAAATAAAATTGGCTAATTTCGTTAAGGATCTAAAGAAAAAAGGAATAATTACGACTGAGATTCATGATTAAATTAAGTCGACTGGATCATTTACACCACGACTGTATGGTTTGCCTAAAGTTCACAAACCAGGTCTTCCTCTACACCCATTTCTAGATATGTATAATTCTACTTGCCACAAACTTGCAAAGTGGCTAGTGCGAATCTTAGAGCCTTTGCACAAATCAGTTGTTAGAAATAGTGTAAAAGAGGTCTTCGACTTCACCTCCAAAGTGGGAACTATTAATTTTATTATGAAAAATAAAATATAGTTAGTCTGTACGTGTTCCAATTTTCTGATGATTGAGTGATCAATAGCTATCTATCAGTTTCAGTTACCTTACATTTATCCTGAGCAGCTGCCCATTTAGTTTTTATGAAATTGTGCTAGATACTACCATCTGAATCCACTAGGCTCATGTCATCAGATTTCAAATCGGTCAGTTTCATGAACATAGATCCAAATGTTGATGTTATCACTGAAACTTGAACACAGTATCCTTTAGCTACACATAATGTTGTTATTTCTATACCGTTACTAGCTTTTGGCACATATCTGAATCTCCGTATAAATGTCAACATTATGATCATCATACATCTAGCTTATAAGTTCCGAATAAGGCAAAATGGTCGTCCCGTATTTTATTGTTACCACTTATCTAATTTTGATTATGAATTGGATTAGACCATTTATATTCAAGGAATAAATATAAAAAACTCGGAACATTTCTACACTGCTTAATCATTCAAAATCCTCTCTGTGAAATATGTTTTTGTGCTTAAATACATCAATTTTAAGCATAACAATCATAAATAGTGACAAATGATATGGACTATTTAAACTTTATTGAAAATGCTCCGATTTCGAATATTTATCTGTAGTTTAGAGATAAGCACCATAGTTTTAAAATTTTTCGTCTTTCGTGGTTATTTGTGTTTTGTTCATCCTATTTGCCACTCCTTGGGCAAAATGTACTTCTAATCTATGGGGGAATGATGCTCCTTGCTGGATACGATACCATAACAGCGTTCTTCATGATCAGAGACTATCTGACCCGTGACTAACCTACTATACCACATAGTGCACGCGATGACATGTTACCTAGTCCTGTAGCCACATTACAACTTTATTGATAAAATTCAATTTTCTCTAAGAAAGACTCAATAGACTTGATCAATCAATTGTAAAAAAACATCTCAGTGATAGCGTCTCTGATTGTGAAAAAAGGCTGTAATAGGATCAAATCCACCAAAGAGCAGTAATTTCTTCAAGATCACAAGTACACTATGTTGACGAGTTCCAAACAGACTGAAATCCAAATCCTGAGTTGCTCGTTGCCTACCTTCAACGACCACCATACAAAAACGTTTATTTGCAAGCTCACCATAAACATATTGAGCAATATACACAAGTTTTTCTCAATGTATATATATCACATGATGATGATAATGGATGCAAGTCATCTAATTCCGCACAAAAAAACTGTAAAAAAAGATTGTTCTTTTTCTCTATTCTGATTATCAATACATGCATGTGAATACATTTCCTAAAATAATTTGTATAATTACTCAATCAAAATAAGTAGTAAATATGAAAATTAATTTCATTCTTTGTATCATTGAAAACTGCATAGTGTAGTGAATGAAGTAGATAGCTAGAATAGTTAGATAACATTCTATGAGAAGTATATATATATATATATATATATATATACTTACATTACACTCACATATATTAACATCTAAGCGTATATCACTTACTTGATAAACTCCAAGTTTTCTATCCATATCAGTGAATCTAAATGTCTGTTTGTTTTTTTGTTTTCATAAAAAGAGAGAATAAAATACAATGAAAATGTATGAAAAATTTCGATGATTTGTTTTAAATCAATCAAAATGAAGTATGTATTCCTTGTCGAACAAGTTTGTGATTATGCCTACTCAAAGGATTTGTGAACAACGGAATAATGTTTGATTGATATCAGACTATCATAGAAAACCTGGAAGTCCTAGTATAGGACTCCCCAGCTGTACGCATTCATGATCCCGCTAGCCTAATTCGTAAGAGAGTTCTCAGAGTTCTAGTTTGAAGCGGAGCTAATCTATATCAGGAAAAGACAGATATCTACCTTAGTACAATGAAAGATGGTCGCGCAATTTCGTGGATTGATTGGGGTTAGACAATAACACCGTTGGATGCCATCTCAATGGTCTAGAGGTTAAGCGTTTGCGCACGAGATCGATAAGTCCTGGCTTCGAGTTTAGCTTATAAGATCAAGGATACGCACTGCCAAGGAGTCCCGTACTAAGACGTAACAACTGTCCAGTATTCAATGTTGGTTTAACACATCAGTCGGTTCATGATCTCAATTTTTAAAAAAAGAAGTTTGTAATTAGAGTTCTATACTTTGTTTTTTTCATTCAAAAATCTCCTTATTAGTGTATCAACACTGTATAATATCGATTTTAAAGAAAATACTTATACTCGTTTTAAAGAAAAAGACAGATTAATTACTTTAAGACTTTGTATAACGAATTGTTGTAGCCTGGTATGATTGCCCAGTATGTTGGCCAAACTGGTAAATACACGTTCACTTGCAAATGATAATGTTTCACTGTTTATTACAACAATAAAAAAGAGAGATTTATCATGAGATTAGCAAAGAGTTGTAACATTAAAAACGATGTAAAACAAAATACATTGATGATATTATTATTTAGATAAGAATCGAATATGGAAAATGTGGCGAGATCATAATTTATGGATGAACCAATCAAGTATAAAATAAGAGGTCTCGGATTTTGGCGCGAAATTCACTCATCTAATTTTTCATTTTAACCATCAACTGTAAATCATGATTCCAAATCCTCACACTGGTTTATAACCTTTATTCGCTCCTAGTTATTAAGTAGATACTCTCAAAGTCACTTTAGTATCACTCAACATAGTTAGTTATATAATATACCCTTGTGGGTCAGAGTAATTTGACATTGGTTTTCAGGAGAACCAGACGACATCCGAACTTTCATGTGATAACCCAAACAGTACAACTCAATCCCGTTTAACAGGAGAGCCAGGCACTGCTCAGGCCTAAATTTTTTAACCCGAACATTACAGCTCAATCCCGCTTCACAGGAGAACCAAACACCGTATAAGCTTTAACGCTACAACCTGAATAGTACAGCTCAATCCTGTGGCCCAACCATACAGGTACTAAGCACCCTCGTGGACAATTAGCATCATTCATATACACATCCACGTCATATTTATAGTTATTCCGATCAATGATCACGTGAATCAACTACGCACAGCACGAACAGGCCAAAGTTGACCTATTCTGCTTACACGACCATCAAACTCATTACCAATGGCGACATGCCTTACAATGTCCCAATGATAATGGCCCTTGAGAACACTGAAAAGCAACCACTAGTATGAATGAAATCGGTTGACCAGCAAACCAATTTTGTGCATGAACAGTCGGTAAAACTAGCCATCCACAATACCAATGGCGAACCTCCAGTCTCACATGAGACCTTCAGCTCTACATACTACCCCTAACTGAAAGTCTGAAAAGTCGAAAAAATGAAAATTTCGCAGGTGCGATAAAAATGATCTTGGTGGTCTATTAATAGTATTTCGACATCAGACAATCGGTTTTAAGCAATATTTAAGCCCTAACGCTTCAAGCTGGGCTATTACGCTTACTACCCTACATATGTGTTGTATGTAGTATAAGCTATATATTGTCGGTCAACGATGATCTATAAATTATAGTCTCACCGAAAAGTTTCGTCGATATATAAAGTTAGATTTTAATGATACCAGTTTGTTTAATATTCAAACGATTTCGGACTTATCTAGTCACTAGTAAATGTAGTTTCAAATAGGTTTCCTTATTTTTTTTAATAATAATATGAGATTAGTAATAAAAGTTAAATTATACTGAATTTGTATGGTTAGTACACAAGGAAAACATTCTTCGATATGAGGTGAATGTTTTCTACTTCTTCAGTTGTTAACAGTCTACCCAATATAACTGGTTGTTTTTTCAAGGCTTTTTTAACAAGTATGTGTGTGTGTGTAAATCAACGACTGAATTAAACCAAACCATAACTGTCGGCCACAGTTACAATGATTAACTTTAAATGGTAGTGAAGAGTACCTGATTGTATTTAACTACATAAAACATGGTCATAGTGAAAACTGATAAATAATATGTTTTCACAGATTGAAATCATGAGTCAGTTGGAGCTAGACCACCATTGAATACCAGGATGCGCACTGCTGACGAGTCCCATACTAGGACGAAACGGCCATCCAGTGCTTCCAGGTTTTCAATGGTGGTCTAGCTCCAACTGACTCATGATTTCAATCTGTGGAAATTTCTAAAAATCTCCACAAACCCCTTCTGAAAATAATATGTTGTTTGTATGCCAATGTCATAATCCGATTACATATTTTACATTCCAATATAATGCTTCAATGTAATTAAAACATGGTAGAATACCAATAAACTACTGTATTTCGTAAAAGCTGAAGTTCATCGTCGATGTTCCATTGATTTGATCAATGGGAGATACAAATAAAAAAAAGAAGTAAACAATGACAGGTTTAAGGTCAACAATAACCAATCAATATCGAGGTCTAAAGAACAACCTGTGAACCATCTGTAGAGACTTCCATTTGAAGTCTATGTTGATGAAAGTTTTACGACCAAACCATCGAACTCTGAGAATAAAAAATCATCACAACCATCCACCTGAACAACAAATCCCCACTATCTCAAAATATGTTATCTACTGTAGCATTACTGTTTAAATGTTCCATTATTTAACGTCATACTAAGTTGCAACAATTCAATAATTGCGTATAATGACAAAGTTAACCTTTGAATCCACGAGTTGATCTAAGCTATACCAGCTTCGAAAACCTGTAAGCACTAGAAGGTCGTTTCGTGCTAGTATAGGACAAATCATCAGTGTACATCTATGATCCCACACAAGACACAGGAACTCAAGATCTTCGGTCTCACGCGCTCACTCTTAAACTCCAGACCACCGAGACTTGATCCAATGGTCTTAACATCAAACTTCAACCAATCCATAATCATGCTCAACCCTTCATCCATTGATTGAGGTGGATACCTATCTTACATACGATATTGATTAAACTCCACCGATCATGGCTTCTTACCAGAACTCCAGGAAATCCATCTTGAAGCTAGTTACTAGTAAGCATATGATTATTATCATTATGAGAATTTATGGAGATTTTAGTTTTTTATCAGTTAATATTCAGGAGTCGCACATGAAAGATCTTGGATGCGTTCTGTTGGGTAGTCCCATACTAGAACGAAATGGTCGTCCAGCGCTAGCTCTAGCTTAGATTAACTAGTGAATTCAACTGTTAAATATACCACAATCTTTACAACTCCCAATAATGACATACAAATATCATTCAAAGATTAATAAGTTTGAATAAATTTGAAAATAGGACGATTTATTGCAATATTTACATGATCCTATTGTGAATTGTCCGATTGCTAAGACATGCTGGCAAACTAAATAGCATCTCTACTTCTCCTCCTCCTCCTCCTCCTCATCATCATCATCATCACCATTATCATCATCCAAATCATCATCATAAACTTTCAGTTAGTTACATTAGAAACATCATTAGATCTTTATTTTTATTTTATGTCTATTATTATTAATACGATTATCATTTTAATTGCTCCATTTCTTTTTATGACTGTCATAAAGGTTTTTATGATGTGAAAATTTCCCTTATGATATGTGAAGATTTAAATATCACCAATTCATTTTATCTATGATGATTGTAATTTACTTGTTCCTAAACGCCCTGGTACGGCTGAGAGTGAGGAGAGTCCGCTCTACCTTTACAAATGCTCTCAAATGGCCACGCGTATATAGCCTCTGCCAGGGAAGTCCTACTCACTGCCTTCTCACACCACGGGTGTTGTTTACGAAAGTTAAAGGACGAAAAGCGAATGTCCAGCGCTTTAACCGGACTGGTGAACATGCAGAGTCCATCTAGGAGAGTTGGAAAACCCTGGTTCCAAACCAATGGTGTACATGGGATCCATTATCCTAAAGAAACAAATGGTGTATGAACCAATTATTGGTCCTCGGCTGTTATGGGACTGCATCTCCTTACGTTGCTCCACTGCCCTGTGGATCAGACCTTTAGGTCGAAGGTTCCGGGTGTGGCTCGCTAGGTAAACCACCTGTTTCGATTTGGGCACCCCGGCAGTATCACATCTCTCACACATATCAAACGAGATTTGTGTGACGCATATGTATTTGATGCCTCCTTGCACCAATATCTATATGTTAAAATAAATTTGGTGCCTCCTTGTAATTTACTTACATTGCATTCAGTTAAGTGGATGATCAATATATATATATATATATATATATATATATATATATATATATATATATATATATATATATATATATATATATATATATATATATACGTATACATTCACATTTATAGAAATAGAGATTCATTTATTTCATTCTTGAATATCAACAATGGAAAACCAAAAATTTTGATAATATCTTCATGTTCGTTGAAGTAATCTGAACTTATTAGCTCAGTGAATAAAACATTTGATGTTTAGAGCAATAAGTAATCAGTTGAAATCTCAGTGAAAACATTAACATTGAGATATAGGTTCATTAAACTGATGAGGTCTAAATAAGACGAAACTTGGATATTAGTTTTAACTGTTAGTTACAGACCAATTGTAATTAAGTTTAGGATATAAACTTACACTGAGGAGATCTGCTCAGGAGGCTGATCAAAATTTTAGTCGTAAATATCAATAGATGGTAATTATAATTGATTACATATTCTCATTTATTCTGTTCTGATATAGATTACATATTTATAATTGTGAAATATGTTTAGAATTACCGTTTAACATCTCAATTAAATCATCAGTATATGTGAGCCAAGCACATCAATGTATTGATTATGAAACTATTAGTTTGTATGTGAAGTATATAGTAGGTAGAATGCAGTGCATTTTCCCTTCTAAAACAATAGTGTTTATCCTCATTTTGTATTGTTTGTTTAAATCTTACCATTGATATTTAGGACAACAATTGATCAGTCTCTTATTGGTATATATACATCCTGTTCCGATTGTCTCGATATCGTCTTAAGTCACAAGTATTATAAGCAAAGATAGATAGTGACTAGCAGTGGAATCCAGGATGCACGTCTCATCATATTTGGGACTCGTTATCTGGATGTACCAGAATCCTAGAATTGATGTTCACTCCAAGACATAAATTCTAATTCGATAGTATTGTGAAAAATATTTAGATAAGATACCTGACAAACTAATTTATCTTAGTACCTGATCTCAAGTTGACTGTACAGTGTATGATACCCTGATTACTGAATGAAACGTAAACTCGAAAATGAATGTTTAACCAGGTCTTATCAGTTTATAAGTACAATACTATTGCGAAATTTAATCAAACACTTCGTTAAAGAATGTTACCTATCGTCAAAGATTTTGTAATTGGTAAAGGTTGGCAAAGATTACAATCAATGATCCTTGAAAAGATACGC